GTGTATGTTCTACTAAGGAAAATATTTTGGTTAAGCTCTTATAAGGCACAGCCACTTTAGGCCCCATTTTCAGAAACACTTTCAACTTTGCAGGCTCAAAATTGCTCCTGCAAAACTGGAGAACATTTCTAATAATGAGACTTCCTTGTATGTTACCAGTTGGCGGCAAACATTTGTTGGCCTAGTAGAAAAAAGACAAACAGCTGCAGTTTCCCAGGCCTAGCACAGAAAGTTCATTACAAAGATTAAGGGTGATACTTATAATGGCAGTTCAAGGCCTGAAATATTAATACTGTTGCATTATCTGGAAGCCAGACCAATGAGTTGACAGAAGCAATAAGAAAATTCTGGATAGTACAAAGAAACATTGATACTGCTTCATCTGTCACCCTCAAAAGGGGCTTACACACAAAATATCCCAAATTCATTAACTTTTTACATGAAGGAGAGCACTTAGACATTGTATGTAGCATAAATATACAAAAGCTACATTAAGAAAAGCAAAAGGCTTAGGACCGTCCGGAATGGTCCCATCTCCCCACTGTGGAACACTGACATTCAATACATTTTAAAGTAACATATTTATGTAGACAATTATGGAACAAATAAAAATGCTAAAAATAACTTTGTAGCATCATCAATCTGATTCTGAACTCATTGACATCAGTGTAAATCAGGAGGAAGTCCTATGTCAGGATGGGTCCACAGTTCTTTCCGGCTCATGATTCCCTTCAAGGTTGCCTCTGATACCAAGAGCTGAGCTGAAGACCAAAATGGAGGCTGCCACATGTCATTTTATACCCATCCCTGGTCTCTTCCAAGCTGGAGAGTCACATGGTCAGTGGCCAGGCATTCCTTCAAGTGTGTGTCTGGCACTTAGAGATCTATTGTCCTTTGAGCCTTGCTCATTAGCATATCCATTGGCTGAGCATTCCTCGCCTATTGCTCAACCACAGAGAAGTTTCCAGCAACCATACAGAGTACATGTATATAACTCCACACACAGACATTATACAATTACACAAATAGCATATACAGAATCAGTAGAAAGTAAGCTTTTGTTTGACACCTCACATGGCCCCCTTTGTATACACTTGTGGGACAAACACTCCCCTCCCCCCATGGGTGCAGCAGTGATCTTGCTTGCTCCCCTTAAAATCCAGTAACCTGACAAATCCCTTCACTCAGCTCCCAGGGATGGTTCCAGCTGCATAAGTCTGTCATTCCCACACTTTGATTGTTACACAGGGGGTTTGCAATAAGCCATGTGCTCCTACACCCTCCCCCCCATTATCAGACTTACCACCTGAAACACCAGTTCTGTCTGCTCTCTGTATTTCCTAAATAAAAATGTGTGATTTCAGGACAACAGGATCTTTATTCATTGTGCCAGCTGTGTTTGTGGGTGGAGGATCAGTCAATAGAAAGCAGCTTGGTAAGAGCAAGATATATAACTGTTACATCATTGTCTGGTTATTCATGAAACTGGTTTTCAAAACCACTCTGGTGGGCAATGTCCATGTGCTGTTCTTATTGCCCTGTTGTCTGGCTGCTCATAATTACTCATAATTACTCAGCACACAATCTGTTTCAATCCTCTCCACCACACCAGGAACTTTTCCTCCTTATTTTCAAAGATATGATGCAGCACACAGCAAGCAGGAACACCAATGGGAATATTGCTTTCACTGAGGTCCAACCTAGTCAATTAACTGCATCAACATCTCTTTAAATGGCCAAAGGCACATTTTACCACCATTTTACACTTGCTCAGTCTATGACTTAACTGTTTCTTACTGCTGTCCAAGCTGCCTTCATGAACCATGGGAGCAAGGGACAGCCTAGGTCTTCAAGGCTAACTATTGGCTTCTCAATGTCTCCAGTGATAATTTTCTAGTCTGGGAAGAAAGTTCCATATTGCAGCTTTCAGAAGAGGCAGGAGTTTCTAAAGATGTATGCCTCGTGCATCTTTCCCAACCATCCCATGTTGATGTCGGTAAAATGGTCCTGTGATCCACCCCAGCGCTTGCAATACCATTAAGAAGTATTCTTTGTGGTTTCTGTACTCTTTAGCAAAATGGTCTGGTGCCAAGATAGGGATAAGTGTTCAATCTATCACCCCACGACAGTTAAGGAACCCCACCAGGGTAAAGCCATCCACTATGTCATGCATGTTCCCCAGAGCAACTATCCTTCCTAGCAGAAGGGTATTGATGGCCCTGGCTACTTGGTCACAGCAACCCTCACTGTAGATTTACCCATTCTGATTTGATTCCCAACTGACTGGTAGCAGTATGGCATTGCAAGCATCCACAGAGCTAACACCACTCGCTTCTCAGCTGTCAGAGCGGGTCTTGTTTTGGTATTGCTGTATGTATTTCAGGGTGGAGGAAAGCAATTTGTAAAGTTCCATGAAAGTAGCCTTGTGCATGCAAAAGTTTTGCAGCTACTGCTGATTGTCCCATAGCTGTATAACTATGCAGTCCCACCAGTCTGTGTTTGTTTCCCTGGACCAGAATTGGTGTTCTAGTGTGTCAACATGCCCATCTGTTGCTGGCATCTGCCAGTTGCTCCATTCAGTGGGTTACTGCACATCGGTTTGTGTGGTCTCACATTCTTTCTTGCACTAGTGGCTCCTGGCTAGGCTCTGGACAAACTGCAGCATAATGCACAAGGTGTTTGCAATTCTTGCCATAGGAGTGTG